AGGTCCTATTTAAGTGATTTCTTGATTGAGAACAGGTGTGGCAGTAATCAGGCCTGGGTGTGGCTAGAGAAATTGAACTCAGCTTTCCAAAGATGTGATAAACCACAGTTAATTTATGTTTTAACGGGGGGGGGCAATCACTTTTTCACACAGGGCCATGTAGGTTTGGATTTTTTTTCCCCCTAAATAATAAAAACCTTCATTTAAAAACTGCATTTTGTGTTTACTTGTGTTATCTTTGTCTAATATTTAAATTTGCTTGATGATCTGAAACATTTAAGTGTGACAAACATGCAAAAAAATAAGAAATTAGGAAGGGGGCAAACACTTTTTCACACAACTGTATATACATATATATATATATATGTATATACAGCTTTTATGCTAAGCTAGCACATACATTTATGCTAGCTTAGCTGTAGTCAGCGTACCTGCTGCTCACTCCTCCCTTTTTCCAGCAGCTTGCGCACTTCCTGCTCTTTGCCCCTCAGGTCGTCTCTCAGGTCGTCGTACTCCTTCTCCGTCTTGTCGATGAGCTTGTCGAGGTCCGACGCCTCCTTCTTGATCTTACCGGCTTCATCCTAAAAAGACACAAACGGTTATCCAGGAAGTCTAAATATACTTATTATAACTCATAATGTCTGTGAAGTCACCTCCAGAGCTTTGGTGTCGAACGATGGGACGTTCGTCAGGTTGGCGAAGATCTTCACGGCTTTGTTTCCGGCGTCTTCGGCCTCGGCCTGAACCTTGTTGGCCTGTTTCTCCAGATTCTTGGCCAGCTCCTTCGCCTCGTTGTACCTGAACAGTTGGAGCAGATGGGTACATAAATAAACACAGTACTTATATCTATATATATATATATATCAGGGTATAAGGACGCTTTAATGCAGACGTACTTCTTGTTGAGCTCGTCGATCTCTTGGCTCGTCTTGCTCTCTCCTTCCAGAGTCTTCAGCAGCAGGTTGTGCGCTTTGGTCGACGTGTCGTTGGCGTCTTTGGCGATCTTCTCGATCTGGTCGGCGTCCATCTTGTGCCTAAAGACAAAGCACAGACACAGAGGACGACGGTTAGTACTCTACATGTCTGAATGTAGAACGTGTCTCCACTAACAGATGTTCATTAGTTTACTGATCAAAGAGACAAAGATCCTCTGAACAACAGAAGTAGAAGAAGAATAGAAGAAATCAGCTGGAAGCTTGAATTTAAACAGGAACAACTTCCTGTTTCAGTGTCAAAGAGTTTCACAATAAAAGCATCGTAGAACAAGCTGGAGTTAACTTCATCAAAGCTCTGCTTGAGTAGAAACAGAAGGTTAGACTAGAGTTACTGTTGGAACATCAGCTGAACTGATCACAGTTTAAACCTCTTCATCAATAATCAAACTGGTTCTTCATCAAGTTCACCAGGATTCTGTCATGTGAATCAGTTCAGAATAAAATATCTGAGTTATTATTAAAATAAAGAACAGCATCGTCAGCATAACAGCTGATTCATAACTTTATGTATTTATACTGAAACGCAGTTATTTTAAACATCAGAAACAACAACAACTCTCTTCTTCTTACTTGTCCGCCAGCGTCCGAGCCTCCTCAGCCAGCAGCGTCATGTTGTTCGGATCTCCGGTGCCGCTCGGGGGTTTGATGTCCTGCAGACAGAGACACCAGTCAGTGAATCTATCGGCGGGCTCTGTTATGGTTAACGGTCGCCGAGACAACAGCGCCGTGACCGGCGACTCACCACTTTGCCGACGGCGTCCTTGGCCTTGTCCAGCTCCTGTCGGGCGCGGTCGATCAGGTCCTCGGCGTCTCGGACCCGGTGGCGGGCGCGGTCGGCCTGCGTGCCGGTGTCGTCCACCGTGTTGCGGATGCCCTGCAGGCGGTTCCACTGGGTCGTCAGAGTGTTGTTGATGCCGTCCAGGCGATCCAGCAGACCGCGGTCCACGTCTGTGTTGGTCAAAGGTCAGAGGTCAGTCGGGTAAAACACGTTGTTTAAATTGAATTCAAAAGCTGAAATCAGGGCTGAGCTAGTTCCTGACATGACAGAAGGTGCAGCAGACGTTCTAGTTCTCCATCAGTACGATGTACAGTAGAATCTATAACCATGACTCTGGAACATCAGCAGTGTTGAAACAGGATTGTTATCAAGGGGAACAGACACTGAGCCATGTGATCTACGAGCTCATCGGTCTGTATCATGACCTTTGCTGGCCTGAGCCTCCCCCAGCAGCTCCATGATGGCCCTCTCTGCCTCCTTCAGCCGGTCCTCGAAGGCCTTGTCGCTGACGGTGTCCTGGCCTGAGCCGAGGTTATCGATCAGGGTCTGCAGGTCGTGGAGCTTCTGCCTCTGCTGGTTCACCTGGACACAGAGAACAACACGGCCGTATATTTTATTCATGCATTTTACATTCTCTGCATGCTCTTTAGGTTTAGTGCTTCGTACTAGGCCACGTAGTATAAAGGTGTCCTGAATGTTTCTACTCATATAATTACTGTTGTTATTGTTTCTACATGCTTATAAAAGGATAAATGATGAATTACTTCATCATTTTAATCTTTTATTCAGATTTTTTTAGGGTGACTTTGTAACATCTGTCCAGGAGACTACAGATGAAAAATACATTTACAGTGATGTTTTATTAATGTGCACTGTCCCTCCCAAAATCAACCAATAAATAAAATATATTTCTTTGTGCAGAGACATAAGAACGACGGCGTATTAAGGAAATGTAGGTCAGAAAAATAAATGATGGAGCTGGAAAAATCACAGAAAAAAAACGATGAGCAATTTACCGCTTTAATCTGAGAGAATATCCAACTTTACGACTTTAATCTTGTAAATTTGAGTTTTTGTCTTTTATTTTTGGAGCTACAAAAGCCCTAAAAGGACGCCGTACATAAGTTTCTATCCGTCCCGTCTCTAGCGTCCGTCCTCACCTTGTCTCTGACCAGACTGTAGCAGGAGGGACACTGCTGGCAGCCCGGTGCCGAGCGGTTGTAGAAGTAATTCTCCTCACACATGTCACATCGAGCTCCCACGAAGCCGGGACGACACTCGCAGCGGCCGTCCTCCTGACACTGACCGGACTGGGAGCCCTCAGGGTCGCAGTCGCAAGCTGAGGGGTCACAGAGAGAGAGGGAGAGGGGGGGGGCATTAGAAAACACAACCAAACCAACCAACCCCACCAACCAACTAACCAACCCACCCATCAACCAAACTAACCCCATCAACCAACTAACCAACCCACCCCACCAACCA